ACCTTCCTCTATGATGTCCCGGAAAGGGGAGGGGGAAGGAGGGAGGAGGGAAGAGGGAGGAGGTAGGAAGACGGAGGGAGGCGTAGGGAGGGGGGGGAGTTGCATAAGAAGCTGGCTGGCGTGTGTGTGTGTGTGTGTGTGTATTTATATATGGTCGCTTTTAAGGACAAGCTGGGATAACCCAGATTTCGAGGGTTTCCAGAAATCTTGACCTACACCATAAGTGAGCATTGCCCTACCTATAGGAGAAGTTTGGTTTCATTGGTGTGTATATTTGTTTGGTTAAAGAGAAAACTCTCCTTATCTTTTAAAGAAACTGAGCAAGGAGCAAAAACTTTACCTTCGATTTTCTCAAATCAGCATTTTTCGGGATAGCCCCCTCGTGCTTAAAAGCGACCATATATAGTGTATATGTGTTAGTGTGTATGTATATATACATAATGTATGTATAGTGTGTATGTATTCCTTCTTCGATGATGCTCCAAAATGGGGAGGAGGGAGAAGGGAGGAGGGAGGGGGAGGGGGTAGTAAGGCGTAGGGTTGGATGGGGGGAGGGAGGGTGGTAGGAGATCGCAAGTGAAGCTGGCTGGCGTTTGTAAATGTGTTTGTGTGTATGTGTGCATGTATGTGTGTATGTGTGCATGTATGTGTGTACGTGTGTATGTATTTATGTGTGTGTATGTATGTGTGTGTGTACGTGTGTATGTATGTATGTGTGTATGTGTGTGTGTGTGTGTGTGTACGTGTGTATGTATGTATGTGTGTATGTGTGTATGTATATATGTGTGTATAAATGTATGCATTATGTATGTGTGTATGTATGTATGCGTGTGTGTGTGTGTGTACGTGTGTATGTATGTGTGCATATATGCGTGTACGTGTGTATGTGTGCATGTATGTGTGTACGTGGGTATGTGTGTACGTGTGTATGTATGTATGTGTGTACGTGGGTATTGTGTATGTGTGTATGGATGTATGTGTGTACGTGTGTATGTGTGCATGTATACGAGTACGTGTGTATGTATGTATGTATGTGTGTATGTATGTATGTATGTATGTATGTATGTGTGTATTTATGTATGTATGTATGTATGTATGTAT